AACGCAGCACTCAGCCAGGCCTTGAGATTTCCCTCGTGGTGTGCGTCGTTGGAGCCCGACCGGATTATCCTCATCTCGCCGAGGGACCAGGCCAGCTCGGAGACCGAGAAGTCCAGGAGCTCCTTGCAGTCTTCTATGGCCACTTGTTCTCTGTAGTTTATGGACAAGGAGTTGAACCTTGTGATCATTTCGATGGCGGCTCGCGCCTCGTTGAGGGAGTTTTTGAGGGCTGCACTTAGGATTGAGTTCCTTCTCTGATGCTCATCAGGATCTTTTAATTGAGTGTTCATGAGCTCTTGTTGGATATTGGTGAGACATGATTCCTTGTTTTCAATGTCATTGCAGAGTTTCAAAAGCATGGTTTGGTGATCAGGTGAGGCTGAAAGCATAGTGGGGAGAATGATGAGGATGAGGAGAAAATTGGGTAGGCCCATTTTTTGGAATTGGTAAATGGAGAAAGGTGGGAATGGGGAGATTGATTATTTATGTATGTGAAAAGGAGAGTGGGGAAACTTGTGGGATTGTTTGTTATCAAAGAAATGTTTTGTCTTTTGAGTTGGGAATTTACCTTGTGTTATGCTTTTTCTCAGGACAAAGTTAAAAGCTTATGCTTTTTTTTAGCACAAAGTTTTTTAGTATTCCTTGCTATTGCTGGCTTTTGAATGAGATGCACAATCAAGGGATCTTTGCTGTTCACCTTTTCTAGAATGGGAATCCAATTTGTTTTGTCAGTTCAGAGTCATGACCAGTAAAGGGCTTAAGAGTTGGGCCCAATATGAAAATGAAAAACAGGATTATTTTTTATCTTTTTAAGTTACGAAATAGGATATAAAAACATACCTTATTGGTAAGACACTATTCTACACTGAACCATCGTACATTTATTAAGTTCTACTAAATTGTTAAAGTTTTTAGGCCCCCTTTGGAAGGTTGGTCCAAACCAAGTGATTTGTAGTTTGTACCATAAAACACTAAGGGTGCGTTTGGAATTGGTTCCAAAATGTTTTTGTTTTCTGTATGAAAATAGAAATGAAAACGTTTTCATTTTCATTTTGAAATTATTTTTGAAATGCGTTTGGTAGTTTTATTAAGAGATTGATTTCAGTTTTAAAAAAAACTGAAACTGCATTTGGTGGTTTAATTTTTAAAAACATGCAATAATATTTAAAATAATAATATATTAAATAAATAATATTATTAAATATATTAAATAAATAATATATTAAATATATTAAGTAATAATATATTAAATAAATATATTGAATAAACATCATTATATAAGACAAAAACGATTTCAGAAAAAAGAGAGAAGAAAATTAAATAAATAATATTATTAAATATATTAAATAATAATATATTAAATAAAATCATTATATAAGACAAAAACGGTTTCAGAAAAGAGAGAAGAAAATAAAAAAAAAATGAAATTCGTTTTCAGAAAACGAAAACGAGAAAATGAAAACACCTTTTTTTAGTTTTCAATTTTTCACAAAAGACAAAAACGGTTTTGTTTTTGTTTTTAAAAAACTTTTAGGCCAAACGCATTTTATGTTTCTGTTTTCATTTTTTAGTCTCGAAAAATGTGAAAAATGGAAATGAAAAAGGAAACAAACAGGGCCTATAATTTTTTCATCAGGGAAAATACTGTTTAAACTCCAACCTCAAATGGAGATGGTTTGAACCCATCCTCCAAATACACTCTTTATGTTTACTATGGTTCTGATATAAGGTGCGTTTAGTAGTATTTCTTGGAGCTCAAAATCACATCTCTAGCCATCAGAAGCTGATAATGGTGTTTGATAAAAATTATAAAAAGTGATTTTTTAAGAATTTTTAAGAATCTACAACCAAAATCATAAACAGCCCAAATGCAACTTTAACTTTTAGATTGTATGGGAATCAACATAGTACAATTAATGATTATCAACAAAGTTATATTAAATAATTAATTATTAATTACTAATTATATTATATAAATATTAATTTATTAGTATTAAGTTTTTAATTTTTTTAATAAAATAATAAATAATATAGTAATTATTTATTTAGTTAAAGATTAATTGCCAAAAATTAATTATATAACATATTAACAATAAAACAAGTAATAATAGGTTATGAAATAAATTATTAATAATTAATGTATCATTCATATATTATATTAATTATGATCTATTAATTAGTAAATAGTTGGTACATAAAAAAATAAACAGTAATTACTCAATTAATTATTAATATTAAATTATAATTATCAATATATAATATATTAATCAATAATAATTGATAATTGATCATTAGTAATTAATCATTACAAAAAAAATAATTTATCAAAAATTGATCATGTGATATATCAAATAATAGATCTTTATATATTTATTTAAAATTATTAATTACGGTCATCTTAACTACTCACAGTAATTCAACCTCACAATTTACCAAACGCTATTACACTGCTTTTGGAACCAACACTTGTATAATTACAGTTTACCAAACACTCAACTGTTTTTTATAACAGTTACTTTTTCTTTCAGCACAGCTAAAAGTAATTTTTTCATAATCTACAGCACTACTAAACTGGCCCATAATCTGACGGAAGTGTTATTGTAGAATTTTCCTTTAAGTATTGTTATATCTTTTTCTTTTCTTTTTTGTTTATTTTGGAGAGATGTGAATATACTATTTCAGTTGGTGGTGTCATCACATCTAGATAGATCCCCTCTTTTAAGCAATGGGATCTCTGTTATGTCTCTCATCCGGTCTTAAACAACAATCTACAGGACAAAGAGTTAATTACAAACTTCTAAAATAAAATTAGATGTAGCATCTCTCTGCAAGCTGCACATGCAGATAGATCACATGCCAGCAAAGCAACAATAGAAAAAAATTACGCAACTAATGAAAATAGTTTAATTCAACAGAAGTAATCAGCAGATTACGCAAACAAAATTTTGCTCACATATGTACTCATGTAAATATCCCTCGTTTGTATAGCTGATCACTACCTTCCTCTGGCGAGTAACTTAATCTCGGAGGCTTTATGGTCCGGTCTGCAACATCTGATACCATAACTGCCTTAGCGTTTAAATACCAAGGTTGAAGATATGGTGAAGTAGATGAAGAACTCGAAAAAGGGTGTAGTACTACTGAACCCCAGTCCCTGCTACCAAGTCTTGCTTCTTTCAATCTTCTTCTGATCAACAAACTTCCCATGTCTTCCTTTTTCATGTCCGATATACTTCTTAGTATTGAAGTGCACAAAAGAAGCACAAAAACGGAATCTTCTTCGGGCATAAATTCGACTACCAATAGCTTCCAGTTCAGAAGAGCCGTTGCTCTTCCATCGGGGTCATCATCTGTGAACCGAACAAGGGTCAAGAAGCCCTCCTCTTCCTCGTCGTCTTCCTCTTTCTCTTCTTCCCCGTTTCGGTACTCTCCATTGGAGCCCCGTGGCTCAACTTTCTTCACTTGATATTGCATTTTCCGCCCTTTCAACAGCTTCACCTGAGAGTTAAAGATAGTTATCAATGTTTTATGTGTACTTGCTTTGTATTTCGTAACAGATAAGAGTGCTTCCCTACCGTTAATTCTGCAGCTTGGTTTCTCAAACAGAAACTCAGGCCTGATATTGAAGTCGATGCTTCCCACCGAACCATCAACTCATCTCCGGTCGAAAATTGCCATGCAGCTTTCCATTGTTCTGATGGTTCTTTTGGTGTTGCTGTTCCTACCACCTTCTCTGTACTAGATGGCAACAGGCAGCGACGTTTCAAATTTAATTCAAAACATATAAATTGAAAAACCAGTGTTAAAAATATACTTTTTTAGGAAAACCCTATTCTGATTCCTTTAAAAACCACACATTTCCTTTACTATAAGACCGAGTCCATTTAATTTCTAAAAAGGAATATCAATCCTTATCTTTTTGAGGAATTCTTCATCAGTGATTCTAAATGACTAATTTTTCTCAATATTCTCAAACTTGGTTCCATAGGAGCAAGTCAGAGACAATAACACAATTTTCTTTGTAGAAGTATCATAAGTATTTTACATTTATGATAAAATTTCTCAAGATTGACTCACTGTTTGTTTTTCTGTACATTGAGAATGAGATAAGTTAGAACATCCTCTGAAGTGTGTCTTGGTCAATTATCAGGCCAACTTTAAAGATTTTCATAATCTTTCTACAAAATAAAAAAATAAAACGAGGAACTCTGAAGTTTGTTCTTATTCGTTCTTAATGAGTTTTCTCCGACACTAACAAGCTGTATCATATATATATATATATATATATATACACACACATATATATGTTATATAGAGAGAGTAAAGAACAACTGTAAAATTCTAGTGAAGGCTAGATGAATACAACATACCAGGGGCTCTACCAATGGAACCAGCAACATAAGACCATGAACCTTCTCGAATCTCTATAATTCTATCTTCCCATTTCACAGCTGATGGAGCTTCACCTCCTCTTCTCCAAAATCCACCTCCCACCCTACAATTAATTTAATCTCGATTTGTTTAGTTCAGTTGTTTAGGATTGGAGTTCTCAGAAAAACAACATAAGAAATTGGAAGATAATTACCTCATTCGAACAACAAAACACTCTCTTCCAGCATGATCAAGAACCGAGCGCGACAACCACCGGCCTTCTTGGGGACGATACTGATTCATTCGGAGAATCACATCTGACACCATTGCGCCAGAATCATCTGTAACACGGTCGGGAACGCATTTTAACAAGTATGGTGCTTGAACCGGAGGAGTTATTGAAGCAATGATCTTCACTTGTTGATCAATTTTTCTTTGCAAGGATAGAGAGGGAGCTCTAATCAAGTCATTCCAGCGGAAGAAAACCGTTTCTTCAACGGTACTTGCTTTGAAGCAATACCCACCGAGCCTGAGAAGCTCAACTACAACTCCCTTGGTTCCGAACTCGCAGTAGAGATGCCAAGCTTTCCGCCATGATTTGTTGAAGTTGGAAACTGTTTGATCAAGCTTCAACTCCCGATGACACCTTACCATTCGGAGACGAAGCACATCGGGTTTTGCATCCTCTTGCATCACATTCATTTCAGTCTTGAGTCTCACGAACACACAGACCTGCATTATAGAATTAGGGAAAGCTTCACTTTAACTCTTATTGAGCAAGTGAATGAGGTAAATTACAGCCTGCTTTAAGCAATGCAGCCATATCCTGTCAACTCTACAAAAGAATTTTAAGATTACACTAAACACATCAAGAAAAATGCAGATTAGATTTCCTGATTATTGAAAGTCTTTATTCATGAAAGAATGCTCATTATATTCTTCCAAATTTTCTCTCAAGATAAGCCCTTTTTTTCTTCCCATTTTCAGAGTTTAATTATACTAAACAAAAAGAAAGTGTGAAATTAAAATAGACTGACCTCAAGTAAGAATCTAGGTAGCATAGACTTGTATTTGCTATTGACATCCATATCTGATACTTCCCAGAAAACTGGAGGCTTGACTGGTACAACCCCATTAAAGTTGAAGCCAATTTCTCCACCGGCTTTCTCATATGGTTGATCAAATGTTGTCTCCCAAAGGTTCTTGGTCTCTTCCACCTCTCTTTTGCTAACTGTTTCCCATACACTCACCACCTTCCCCATATCACTATCCATCTCTTTCAAATCTTCTGCATATACTGTTGAATAACTCTGTTTCGATTACCCAAAAAAAAATTATAAATTAAAAACTCAGGTTCATTCAATGGGTCACCAAATAACTAATCTCCAAGTCTATGAAGAATTCCATAAGCACGGAACTTTTATGGTTACGTGTGCGGTGCACATTTCTAAACATTAGAGTTAGTCAAAATGTTAGACCTCCGGTACGAAAGGTTTACATTAGGAGGTCCAAGAGAGGAATTGAGATGGGCCCAAGCCCAAATGAGATGGATCGGGAGGGGAGCGTGGCTGGCACGGAAGGCCCATATGGGGGAGGTGTGCGAAGTTGGTTAGAGGACGGTGGATATATGGGAAGCAATGGGGGTATGGAGGGGGTGTCGAATTGGTTGCTTGAATTGTCCACTGGGAGGTTGGGGATTCCTCGAAAATCCCTTCTATCTTTCTTTCCTGCATTTCCTGTATTTTCCTCCATTTCCATTAATCTCAGAGCTTCGTGAAGCTCTTGATGTAATAGCAGTAATTGGAATTCAATAAAGACAGCAATTGCCAATTCTCAGTCACTTCGTTAGCTCAATCTCTTGCATTAGGAACTAGGATCCTAACATTTGGTATCAGAGCAGCGATCCATGGCTCACGGGGCACCGGCGACGAACACCACGGAGCGCATCTCCGGGTTGGAGGGTGATATCGAAGCGATCAGAGAGACCGTACGTTTGATGGGAGCGATGGTGGATCACGTACCTCAGCTACAGGAGGACGTGTTGGCCTTGGGAATCCAGATCGAGGACGTACAGGGTTCCCTTCACCGACTGGAAACTATGTTGGGTCGCCATCTCGAGGCCCAGCCACCGATTCCCCAGCGGCGGGAACAGGCACGTGACAGCGAACGGCGGATGCAGAACGAGTCGCCAGAACGGGGCCGTGGCCGAAATGATCACCGGGGAAGACGACTTGAGTTGCCGATATTCCAAGGGGACGACCCGTATGGGTGGGTGTTCCGCGCGGATCGCTACTTCGCCATTAACGGAGTAGAGGAGGGGGAGAAAGTAATGGCGGCCTCGGTTTGCATGGAGGGAAGGGCCCTCGGCTGGTTCCAGTGGTTGGACTCCCAGGAGCCGTTTGCCGGTTGGCGCGACTTGAAGACAGCTATCCTCCACCGCTTCAACCGCACGAAGGACGGCAATCCGACAGAGAGGCTGATGGCGCTGCGGCAGGACAGCTCGGTGGCCGACTACCGCGATCGCTTTGAGCCTTTGGCCGCGTCGATGAGAGGTATTCCTGAACCTATTTTTCGTGGAGCTTTTCTTAATGGGTTACGGGAGGATGTGAGGGCTGCAGTAAAAATTGCATCAGCCCATTAACCTCCAAGAGGTAATGGACTTGGCCCAACAAATTGAAGATAGGAACGAGGCTGTAGAGAGACTTAGGAAAGGTAAGTTGGGCTGGGGTGGAGATATGAAGAGTTTGGGAAGGGTGTGGGCTTGGGTGAGAGGTCCAAACCCATTACGGGATCCCCTGGGAACTCCCTTCAATCCAACTTAGGAAAGGAGTCGGTTCCTCTCCACCGACCCCGAACGTGGCCTTCACAGCAAGCAGGGACTTTAGAAGGAGGCAAGGCTAGTTTTAGGAGGCTTACCGATGACGAGATCCAGCGCTGAAGGGCCAAGGGGCTGTGTTATAGGTGTGACAAGAAGTTTAGTCCAGGGCACCGATGCAAGAATCGGCAGTTGCAGGTGCTGCTGGTGTCAGGAGAGGAAGGGGAGGAGGATGAAGATTCTACGGAGGTGGTGGAGCCACCCACAGAAGAGGTTGAAGGGATGGCAGGCATCTCGCTCAATTCACTGATAGGAGTCTCGTCTGCCAACACCCTGAAGCTGAAAGGGACCATCGGAGGCCGCGAGGTGATGGTTTTGGTGGACAGTGGGGCTTCCCACAATTTCCTGTCTCTACGGGTTGTGAGAGAACTGCAAATTCCCCTAATGGCTACAAGCACCTATGGAATTCAGGTAGGTAACGGCACATGTTTTAAACGGCAGGGAGTGTGTAAGGGGGTAGAGCTCCGAATCCAAGGGTACTCGGTTTTGGGGGAATTTGTTCCTTTGAACTGGGGTGTGCTGAGGTGGTTCTGGGGGTGGCATGGCTACAAACTCTAGGGGAGGCCAGGGCCGACTGGCAAAAGTTTACCCTGAAATTCAAGTCCGAGGCGGGGTGGGTTTGTTTAACGGGGGACCCGACGCTGAAGTTGAAACCGGTGAGTTTGAGGACTTTAACCCGGACATGCCATGGGGATATAGCAGGAGCGCTTTTAGAAATATATGCTATCGAAGGGGGGGTGGTTGAGGAGTTCCGAGCCAGGGAACCAGAGGCTTTGCGAGGATCTTGGCCCAGTTCCCTGCTGTGTTTGAGACACCGAATGGCTTACCGCCAAACCGAGCACGGGATCACCAGATCGTTCTCAAACCAGGGGCGGAACCACCTAACATTCGGCCGTACAGGTACCCCCAAGTGCAGAAGAGTGAGATAGAGAAGCTCGTGGCTGAAATGTTGGCTTCTGGGGGCATTAGGCCGAGCAGTAGCCCCTTCTCCAGCCCTGTTCTGTTAGTTAAGAAAAAAGACGGAAGCTGGTGCTTTTGCGTCGACTACCGGGCCCTTAACCAGCTCACGGTCCCGGACAAATTTCCAATCCCCGTCATCGACGAGCTTTTGGACGAATACATGGGGCGGCAGTGTTTTCAAAATTGGACTTGAGGGCGGGATATCATCAAATTCGAGTCAGGGAATTTGATGTGGAAAAGACTGCATTCCGGACACATGAGGGGCACTACGAATTCTTGGTCATGCCGTTCGGCTTGACAAACGCCCCAGTCACATTTCAAGCGCTTATGAATAAGGTTTTCCAGCCTTACCTACGCCGTTTTGTATTGGTATTCTTTGATGACATCTTGGTCTACAGCCGCACTTGGGCAGAGCATCAGGAGCATCTCACTGCGGTCCTGCAAGTCTTAAAGGATGAGCAGTTGTTCGCAAACCGGAAGAAGTGCGCATTCGGCCAGCAACAGTTGGAGTACTTGGGACATGTAATCTCGACAGCGGATGTGGCGGCTAATCCGGCTAAGATAGAAGTCGTTGTGGCTTGGCCCACTCCCAAGAACGTCCGTGGAATTAGAGGCTTTTTGGGGCTAGCCGGTTATTACCGGCGATTCGTTCGCAACTTTGGACAGTTGGCGAGACCTATGACCGAACTTCTCAAATGGGGGGAGTACAAGTGGACTCCGGAGGCGGGGGCTGCGTTTGACGCCCTTAAGCATGCCATGACCACCCTGCCGGTCCTTGCAATGCCGGATTTCTCAAAGCTTTTCGTGGTGGAAACAGACGCCTCCGGCTCGGGTTTGGGTGCTGTACTAATGCAGGATGGGAGGCCCATTGCCTTTTTCAGCAAGGAGTTATCGGGAACTTCACGACTCCGGTCGGTTTATGAGCGTGAGCTCATGGCAGTCGTTTTAGCTTTGCAAAAGTGGCGCCACTACTTGCTTGGGCGCCACTTTGTGGTGCGCACCGATCAGCAAAGCCTAAGATTTCTTATGGATCAACGGCTTCTGCCTCTCGATCACCTCCGCTGGGCCATTAAGCTCTTTGGGTATGACTTCGAGCTGCAGTATAAGCAGGGCGCTTCGAACCGGGTCGTTGATGCATTGTCTCGGCGCGGAGAGGGCGGGGCGATGGAGTTGACTGCTCTGTCCATACCGCAGGTAGTAAATTGGACTGAGGTTAGGCAAGAGCAACGGCAAGACGAAGAATGCGTGGCATTAGGTTAGGCAAGAGCAACGGCAAGACGAGGAATGCGTGGCATTAATTGGTAAGCTGGACAAGGGTGAGGAAGTGGCCCCTGGCTTTTAATTACATCAGGACCTCTTGTGCTACCAGGGCAGGGTCGTTTTACCACGTAAGTCCCCTTGGATACACAGGCTGTTGCATGAATTCTACGATTCTGCCTTGGGCGGACACTCTGGTTTTTTGAGGACATATAAGAGGGTGGCAGACAATATGTTTTGGCGGGGAATGAAGCGCGACATCCGCAAGTATGTTGCTAATTGCTCCGTTTGCCAACGTTCCAAATCTGAGGCACTGGTTCCTGCGGGGTTGCTGCAACCACTACCTATTCCGGCAAGGGTGTGGGAGGATATTTCCATGGATTTTATATGTGGCTTACCTCGGTCGCAGGGGATGGACACGATCCTAGTGGTAGTTGATTGCCTGTCCAAATACGCTCATTTCTTGCCTTTATCTCACCCATTCACAGCCAAAAGGGTGGCTGAGGCGTTTGTTAGAGAAGTGGTCAAACTCCACGGCACCCGTTGTTCCATCATTACGGATCGCAACCCGCTCTTCATGAGTCTTTTTTGGCGTGAACTGTTTCGTGCGCAGGGCACTCACTTGAGTCGCAGTTCCGCTTACCACCCCGAGTCCGATGGACAAACTGAGGTTGGTGCTTGGAAGTATACCTCCGCTGTTTCGTTAGTGATAGACCACGCGGCTGGCTCTAGTATCTGCCGTGGGCCGAATTCTGGTTCAATACTACCTATAATGCTTCAACGAAGCACTCCCCATTTCAGGTGGTTTATGGGCGGGATCCACCTACAATCTCCAGATTTCAGGATTCTCCCTCAGCTGTAGAAGACGTCAACCTCCAGCTTCAACAACGGAATGAGCTTCTGGACGTCCTTAAGGGACACTTGGTGCTGGCTCAGCAGCGTATGAAAAGGTTTGCGGACGCTCACCATCGAGAATTGTCCTTCGCTCCAGGGGACCGTGTTCTCCTCAAGTTGAGGCCCTACCGCCTCAAATCCTTGGCACGGCGGCCGAATGAGAAGCTGGCTCCACGCTTTTACGGACCTTTTGAGGTCCTGGAGAAGATAGGTGAGGTAGCATATCGTCTGCAGCTACCAGCGGACGCTCGAATCCACCCGGTTTTTCACGTTTCCCAGCTGAAACCCTTCAGGGGCAGCGACCCCAGGTGTCAACCACTCCCACCTCAGCTCTCGGATGAATTAGAACTGCAGGTTGAACCTTATGAGGTCCTACGGGGCCGGTGGACCTCTTGGGGTGGGAAGCAGGTGACGGAGATTTTGGTTAAGTGGACGGGACTACCGGATTGGGAGGCTACATGGGAGCACCTCGATGTGTTTCCGGCCCACTTTCCCCACCACAACCTTGAGGACAAGGTTGTCTTCGAAGGGGGGAGTGATGTTCGACCTCCGGTATGAAAGGTTTACGTTAGGAGGTCCAAGAGAGGAATTGAGATGGGCCCAGGCCCAAATGAGATGGATCGGGAGGGGAGCGTGGCTGGCACGGAAGGCCCATATGGGGGGAGGTGTGCAAAGTTGGTTAGAGGATCGATGGATATATGGGAAGCAGTGGGGGTATGGAGGGGGTGTCGAATTGGTTGCTTGAATTGTCCACTGGGAGGTTGGGGATTCCTCGAAAATCCCTTCTATCTTTCTTTCCTGCATTTCCTGTATTTTCCTCCATTTCCATTAATCTCAGAGCTTCGTGAAGCTCTTGATGTAATAGCAGTAATTGGAATTCAATAAAGACGGCAATTGCCAATTCTCAGTCACTTCGTTAGCTCAATCTCTTGCATTAGGAACTAGGATCCTAACACAAAATCACATCAAATGTAACATGATATGAATTTGACCATTCAAAATAAAGCTCTACCGGTATAAAAATCCATTGAAGTACTATTCAGTAGCCCAAAAAGGCATCAAGAAATAACATATTGGAATGCAGGCCAAAAAGAGAAGGAAAATAAAAAATAAACCCACTATTTTCAAAGCTTAAAAGTATTTGCAAATTTCATTCCCTGCCCATTTTCTTATCATCAGAAGTAGGGAAAAGAAAATAAAAGGAAAGAAAAAGAGAGAGATTTACAAAATAAACAAAAGGAAAGAAAGAAGTTAGGAACAAACTTGATGGATGAGCCACATAAGAAGAATATCCGAGGCAGGAACCAAACGACAACAAACTGCACTAGACCTCTGCAACTGCAACAGATAGAGAAACTCTTTGTAACGTTGCCTTGCAGCTATCAGATACACAACCTCCGACCTGTACGGCTCTGAGAATTTGGAGTACAAATATCTCTGCTTGCTCACTTCCATAAACAGCTCTCCATCGACCATAACCGGGTCGGAAAAACCCGAATCCACTTCATTCTCAAACGGCACATTCGGGTACTTCCTCACCCAGATTTCTCTGCACCTCATTAATGCGTACTCCTCATTCTCTTCGCCAAAAATCGCAGGTTTTCCGATGAGTTTCGAGAATTTCGATTCACAGTATTCCCTATAACGAACCTGAGAAAATTTAGAAAAAAAAAAAATGTCAGAAAATTATTTGATTAGTGCTACAGTTTCATGTCATAAACAGTTGATAACATGTAACATCAAAAGGTTGAATCTTTTTCCCATTATTCCCAACAAAGGGAAACCCAGAAATAGTTTGATTCTTTTTGTTTCTAAGTACTTTCTCAGCAACCAAACGACACTGACCGGATTCAACGTGTGGCAGAACCAGACCCACTCCACATCAACGGGTGGGAGAATCAACGGAGGAGCAGAACCCGTCGAACACGACCCCACCGTCAGATCAGCGATCAACGGCATCCAGAGCTCATTGTACCTGCAACCAAAACCCACGACCATCGGATCAGAATTACTTTGACGACAAAAAGGTCAGTACTGAGAGAAAAAGGTTTGACCTTCGAATGGCCTCGAGAAGAGTTGGTTTGTGGTGAAGCCAGTGGGAGTCGGAGACGGCTCTGAGGAAGGAGAGATTCCGTCTGGCCGCGGAGACGAGATCGAGGCCAAGACGGAAGGTGGAGTCGGCCTCGGAAATCTCGCTCAGGGCTGTTGTTGCTGTGCTTCTCGTCGACGAGATTTCAGACGACATGTCGTTTTGTATAGTGAAGGGACAGTCGGAGAGAGAGGGAATTTAAATACGAGGAAGAGGAAGTTAGAAGCATGTGAGGACTTCTTTTTCTCTAGTTGTGTGTGTCTGTTTGTTTGTTTGACTACTGTTTTGGTTTTCAGTTTGTTTCATCAGGTGGATGTGTCGGGAAAATTGCAATGCGCATTTCTCAATTAATAAATGTGTATGTGGGAATCCTTTTCTTTAAGAGGGGAAAAAAAAAATGTGTACGTGGAGGCAGCGGTCCAATAATATCTTTGCTCGACTTTGTTGGAATAAGATAGGGTCCGTTCAATTTGTTTATTTGAATTTTTAATTTGAGTTAAAATGTAATTTTATGTGAAAATTTTTTATTATAGTAAAAAAATTAGATGTGACTGAGAATTTTTATTGTAATAAAATTTAAATTCTAAACTCGAATCAGTAAAATGAACGGGACCGTAAATTTTACCATAGGCCATAAAAAATATTGTACGGTCGTAATATATGTGGTAACATAAATGACGATCTGATTATACCTCTAGACGGTTTATTGAATATGGTTTATGTTAAATTAATTTTGTATTATCTGGATGCTAATTAATAAAGCATGACTCAAGTGTTGGAAAATTTAAGTGTAGAGGGTGAATAGAATACAGAAAACAAGATAGGATTTGAGGCGTATAAGACTACTTTCATTTAAGGTTTTATTTGCCCTCACTTCTCAAAATTTGCTAATGAGTTTTAATGGCAAATTACCCCCAAGATACAACAAACCCTTAAGCATAGTATCTAGCAATAATATTAAGTTCCAGAACATAAATTAAGTCTGTAAATTTTCTGAAGAATTAATAAAAACAGAAGTGTCATTTTATAAATGAATGCATCATCTTTAAACATTACAACTATTCACATAAAGGTACCTTTTCAATGTAAATGTATTTTTTCATGGATTAATACACCTATTACAATAGTTATATAATTGGTATTCATATATGTATGAAAACATATCACCAATTGATGTAATGGTTCGAAACGTTTTAGATCACATAAAGTCATAAAAACATTGTTTTCTGCATAATTTCTGCTGCAGCGGATGTTTTCCCACTACGGTCGCAAACGGACCCGAGACATGCAAACATTTTGGCTGCAACCAAAATATGTCTGCTGCAGCCAGTTTGGCCGAATCAAAGCAGATTGTCTGCTGTAACTTTTTGAAGTCCTTTTAACACGAGTTTTCATGTTTTAATACTCAAACAATTTGTGATCTTGATCAAGACATATTACAATCTCTCTAACAATCCCCCACTAGATTGTAATATTTCTCCAGAATTAACAACGATAAACACACACATACATGAAGGTATCTTTCAATTTTAACCTCCAATTAGTGACTATACTTCAAAGTATTCATAAGACAACAGTGTACTTTACATTAAACTTTGTCTCTTGAGTAAATATCAGAAATATATCACATATGTGTTATCCCAGACTTAAAATTTGTTGCAATCGTTTAGCACTCTTCCAGCCTTATGCTCTATCTTGGATTCATGAACATTTACAAGACTAAACCATGGTCTTGTTAGGAACGGCATCATTCCTTATGTTCACTTAGGTGAAGTTTCGAATTATATCTCTAGCTACTATGAGACTCGAACTCCATTAAGAGTATAAACTCAACCTCAACCACGTAGCTATTTTGCACCAACATCTTGGAATGGACTAATTAAATTTCGATGCTAACCCGGTCACATAACAATGACTTGTTCTTACCCATTTAACCATGAAATAGCGGTACAACTACTACATAGTTGGGTTACCATCATCGATGACTCTTTCAAAGAACAGTTTCAGTCTCATTCAACTAGATGTTCATTGACTAAGTCTCTTGAAAAACCTTTCGTCAAAGGATCCGCTAGGTTCTTGTTTGTCCTAACATAAACAACATTGATAACACCATCAGTTATTAATTGTTTCACATATTCATGTCTCAAGTTAATATGTCTAGATTTTCCATTATAAACTTTGTTATAAGCTCTAGACAAAGTAGCTTCACTATCGCAGTACAAAGAAATATATGGCATCAGTTGTGGCCACAACTCAATATCAAACAATAGATTTCTTAGTCATTCCGCTTCTTTGCCCGCAGCGGCAAGTGCTACAAACTCACTTTCCATCATAGAATGAGTTATGCACGTTTGTTTCTTAGAAACCCAAAAGACGGCTCCTCCCGTAATTGTGAAAATCCAACCGGATGTGGATTTGTTATCACTTGCACTTGTTATCCAACTTACATCCGAGTACCCTTCAAGTATCGTCGGATAGTCATTATATGACAAACCCAAATTAATGGTTCTTTTAAGATAACCAAGTACTCTACCAATTGCATTCCAATGTTCAATACCCGGGTTACTCGTGAACCTAGACATTTTGCATACCGCAAATACTATGTCGGGTCTTGTACAATGCATGGCATTCATTAAGCTACCAATCACACTAGCATATTCAAGTTGTGCCACCGCTTGGCCTGCATTCTCTAGTAATTTAATATTAGAATCATATGTGGTATTCGCTTCTTTAAACTTCAAATGATTGAATTTAAGAAGCACCTTCTCAATATAATGAGATTGACACAATGAGTAACCCCCACTATGCTTCCTCACTTTTACACCTAAGATAGTATTTACCTCACTAAGATCTTTCATCTAAATTGTGAAGCTAGATGTTTCTTGGTATCATTAACCTCTTACATGTTTGTTCCGAAGATAAGCAAGTCATCAATATATAAACATATAATCACACTAAAATTATTAGTAAATTTGAAGTATATGCATTTATCGGCATTATTATGCTTAAAACCATGACATAAAATGACATTATCAAATATCTCATGCCATTGTTTTGGTGCTTGCTTTAAACCATAAAGAGACTTGACTAACTTGCAAACCTTGTTTTCATTTCTAAGTAATACGAACCCTTCAAGTTGTTCCATATAGATTTCCTCATCAAGATCACCATTTAGAAAAGCCTTCTTAACATCCATTTGATGCACATGCAAATTGTATATTGATGCAATGTAAATAGCACTCTTATGGATGTCAATCTAGCTACCGGAGCATATGTATCGAAATAGTCTATACCATGCTTTTGTTTAAAGCCCTTGGCTACCAATCTAGCCTTGAATGTTTGTATAGACCCATCAGTATTTTACTTTCTTCTAAACACTCATTTGTTGCTTATTAGTTTTGATCCTGAAGGAAGACCAACTAAGATCCAAGTTTGATTTGACATAATCAAATCTATTTCATCATTCACGGCCTCTCTCTAAAAGGAGACATCCCTTGAAGACATAGCTTTACTAAATGTCTTTGGATCTTCTTCTACATTAAGCAACAATGATATTTTATTAAGTACACCATTTCTATCTCCTTCAACCAAAAAGGTTAAAGCTTGAGATGAAATAAAATCCGGTGCTAAGTCCTTTTCTTTTCGTTCACGTTAACTTCTCCTTGGTTCAAAAGATATCATAGACTATTTCCTTTTATTAGTGGAGGTACTGGGAATGCCAACACAAGGTTGATTAACATTATATTCTAATTCAGTGGAAGAATCAAGGCTAAACTTGTTCTCAATAAATTCAACATCTCTTGATTCCACAATGACGTTAGAATCTAAATTCAATAATCTATAAGCCTTGGAATTTTCAGCATATCCTACGAAAACACTTTTAATTCCTCTAACACCTAACTTTGATGATTTAGGGGCTAGACAGCCTAACACCCTTAAATACATCAAGTTTAATTTTCTTCCTTTTCATACTTCATATGGAGATACATGTGTTTTCATAGATGTAATTCTATTATGAACGTGAAATGCAGTAAGTAAAGCTTCCCCCCATAAATTATTAGGCAATTTAGCATTAAGAAGCATAGAGTTAATCATATCGGTAGAAATTTTATTCTTTCTTTCAGCCAATCCATTTTGTTGAGGAGTGAAAAGGGTTTACCTTTAGTGAATAATACCATGCTCTTCACAAAAGGCATCAAATTCATTTGAGAAATATTCACCACCTCTCTATCACTTCGAACAATTTTGATCTTCTTGTCTTTTTTGTTCTCAACTTCAGCCTTATAAATTTTAAATTTATCAAAGGCTTCATCTTTTGTTCTAAGTAAATACACATAAGTGTATCTAGAACAATCATCAATGAAAATGATAAAGTATCTCTTCCTCCTTTCGTTAAAATACCATTATACTCACAAATATGGGTATGAATCATATCCAATATTTGAGTATTTCGTTCGGCTCTAGGAAAAGGGTTTCTTAGTCATCCTTGCTTGTATGTAAATTTCACACTTATCATTTTTAACATCTTTCCAATTAATCAAACTATGTTTAGACATGTATTTCAAAGATCTAAAATTTAAGTGTGCTAAACGTGCATGCCAAACATCAAAAGAGTCACAATACAAAGAGAATTCATATCATCTTTATTATTAATGCTAAGTTTGTACATGCCATCACAAGAATATCCCTTTCCCACAAAGACTTCATTCTTAGATACAATACAATTATTGTGACGACTCGCGCCCTTACGGCACGGTCGCCACTCCTTATACTACTACTAATAGGCTAAGTTATAGTCTAATCCATTATGCATTTCTAGACTATAGTCTCTTTAAATTACGTTCATATTCGGCTAATTTTTTTTCTTTACTTTAACCCTCGGGTTCTGAACATGTTAAGTCATTATGCTAACAACATATCTTGCTATTACTTTAAGGATTCGGATATCAAACTAGTTCCTGAAAACTTGTCTTAACTTATTATAGTCCGTTGTTCTTTACTAAGACAATGGTTGTAATATCTTCTTCTTAGAACTGAACATACATACTAGTATTCTATATTACATTAATCTGCAGCGGAAATTGTTTTCTAAGCGAGCGTAGTAAAGACCACTCCCGTGTACCCATGACATTTCCGCCACCCTTGCCTCCGCCTGTCCATCAAGCAAACCACTATATGACTGGCTGCTTACCTTTGTTACCTGCACACGAGTAAACTGATGAGCTAACGCTCAGCAAGTATAAACATGCATACATCATAAACTAATAAAAATTACATTAAGAGTTATGATGCAAATATGCTCGTGTGAAACATGCTTTAAACTGCTTTCTATCTTTCTGTTCTTACTTCTATGGGCCTGGGCCCCTGCTTACTGTCTGGTCTAGTCGGAATCTCTACTCTTGAAGATTTTCCTCCCTTGCGGAGGCTGATGACCCGTCAGTCTTTTACTTTACTAGTCATTTCTTACTGTTTGGTCTAGTCAGAATCTCTACTCTGTGAGATTTCCCTCCCTCGCGGAGGCCGACGTCCCGTCAGTCTTTTTCTTTACTGAATGATATGCAACGTTTCTCTACGTGCACATGATAACATATAATGCATAATACTTCTTGCATACTTTAACTGTGCATAAGGGTAACCATATGTCGCCATTCTGCAATCTAGAGCACTAAGCCCTCCAAACACGTATAATCACATGTAATCACATAGACTTAGGAACATAAGTAAATTCATAGTTCTAAGTCTAACTACAGCTTACTCGAGTCCAGACAAACATAAATGTCTATACTTACTGTTAATCCGCTAGGATTCCCGCTTGCTGGAAGTTCTGTCTCGTTGCTTCAGCTCTCGTGCCAAAATCTATTTCATGGAAATAGGTATTAACCACCTATTCCAAACATCAAAATTTCTCATACTTGGATTCCTAAATCCAAATTTCAACTCATTTTTTAACTTAACCCCTATAGGCCGAATTCTAGCTCAAGAGGTAAATTACACCTATTCGTGTATCTCGGTTTCTGAATCATAATCTATTCACTTCTGAGCTTTAAAACTGTTACTCATTCTCGGGAGTCGAATTCTTAATTCAATGCTTACTAACTAGGTTTTAGAAATTTCGGCAGAGTTTCGCCTTCTTTTTTCTAGTTTCCCGAGTTTCCAATAACTCGTTCTACTTCTAATTTCAGTACCTCTAGTCCAGATTCATATTCCTGAACACAAATTCCAACATAAAATGAACAACAACACTTTTTCTCTATTTCTAGTGTATTTCGGATTTTTAGTGTTAATCCAAAAAAAATTTGTTCAATTGTTTCAATACTTACACATTAAACTCCTATCATAGTCCCCGACAAAACCTCGGTTTCGTTTGTCAGTTTTACAGATTCTTCCCGAGATGAGCTACTATTCATCAAAACGAAAAAGCATGCAGTTTCTCATGAAAAATCTCTCATAAAAAATCCGAAATCTTACCTTGAAAAGTTGAGATTCTCCGCTAGAATGCCTCGGGTTATGTTTTTACCGGAATGAACGGAAGAAATTTCGGTGAAAACGGATGATTCCTTGATTTTCCCTTGATTTTCTCTCTTTTCTCTTTCTTTTCCCTATCCTCTCGGCCACAGTTAGGAGAAGAAGCAAATGTGGCTTCTAATGTAATCCGTAGGCCAATATAAGGCTAATATGAATATTATATTAATATTTATAATAATATATTAATATCCCTTTCTAAATTAAATTAGAGAAATTACTTTAATTCTCATAATTTAATTTTACTAATTCTAATTAAGTTTAACACTTAATTTAAGTGGTTCCACGTTCCCCACATTTTTCTTGTCGAGACCAAACTTTCCATTTTTCAAAACGAGTTTCTTTCCGGTACCGATAATTTCACACCCGGTACAGGTTCTATACTACTCTTCTGGACTGCCGAGCACCCTGGGTCAAATTTCTCATAGTCAACCCATTTCTCTTGGGTATCTCAATAGTCAATTTCTTTTTTTGAAATTTTCATTTTAAACGATCCAGAATTGCCCAAAATGCGTACCCTCGCGGTACTCATTTTTTTAGCAATTTCCCGCTTTAACTGACTCGAAAAAATTCTGTTTCAGGAACTTTTGCTATTTTCCTTACTTCTAATATTTCTACTCTTTTTCTGACTAGTCATTTGGTCATTTACCAAATATTTTAGTTTTTCATAACTAAAATATACCCGTTAAAATTTTTAACTTTTAACCGATATTTCACTATTCACAACTCGTATTTACGAATTTTTTCTGTAAAAATATTCGTATTATAACTTTACATTTTTCGGGTGATTTTACCCTGTATATAAAGTTTCTACATAACATTTTCCTGATTACATCAATATTTCTACTACTTTCCGTTCCGGAAAGTATTACGGTCAAATACCAGACTGTCCGGATTAGACTTAAAATTTTTCCGGTCATTACAATTATGGCCATCAAGTACAATCTTAAGTCCATTCTTACACATTAGACTAGCAGATACAAGATTTTTCCTAATGTCAGGGACATAAAGAACATTGTTCAAAGTAAGCTTCTTTCCAGAATCAAAGTTGATCTCCACCACTCATCTCCTGGTAACCATCGCTGCATCATTATTCCCCATGAGAACCGTTTGTCCTTCCTTTTCCACTTTATATGATGAGAACAAATTCTTGTCATTACAAACCTGGATTGTGGCACCGGAATCAAGCCACCATTCGGAAGATTTAGTTACAGTCATGTTAGTTTCGGTAATCATGCCAATTTGCATTTCTGAGACCATAGCACAAATGTCTTCAGATTTCTCTTCAACAGTATTGGCCTTGTTGGTGTTAACTTCTTCCTTTTTCTTCTTGTATCTACAGTCATTTTGGCGATGGCCTTTCTTTCCACAAAAGAAACAATTTCCAGAAAATTTCTTTTGGCCATTACCAGTCTTTTTAAACTTCTTATCATTATTGATTTTGAAGTTCTTGGAAAACTTACTAGCTTCAGCAACATTAACCTTAGAGGAATCTATAATCTCGCCCTTAGGATCACGAGACTTAGTCTTTTCTTCAATCCTCAAGTGTTTTTGTAATTCCTCTAAAGTTATGTCATCTTTCCTATAAAGGAGTTTCTTTCTATAACCATTCAAACTTTGAGGCAATTTAGCAATAATTGCCCCCACTAAGAATAATTCAAAAATTTTAACTTTTAATTCACGAAGCTTAGTAACAATAACTTGCAATTCATGTATTTGATCTAGAACGGATTTGGTATCAACCATGACAAATTCAAGATATTTCAAGATGAGGAATTTGTCAGTACCTTCCTTCTCAATTATGTACTTGTATTTGATAGCATTCCAAATCTCTACTGGAGACTTCATCGAGTTGTATAGATTGTAGAGTCTATCGGAGAGAGTATTGAGAATATAAGCCCGGCACATGACTTCATCATCTTCACGCTTCTTCCTTGCTGCCTTCAAATCTTCGGAGTCATCCTCCTTCAGTTTCGGAAGAGGCTCCAACTTCAGATCAAGCACATAGGCAATCTTGAGCACGGTGAGAAGAAAGAACAACTTTCCTTTCCAGTGGGTGAAATTCGTACCCTAAATCTATCAATTTGGACATTCAGATTGAAGAAAAACGTCATGTTCTTTTCAACCTCCATTGCAGCAAGTTAAAACCTTAAAGATTGTTGAAAAATTTGAGTGTAAAAGGTGAAAAGAATGCAGAAAAAAAGAGAGGGTTTAAGGCGTATAAGAATACTTTCCTTTAAGGTTTTATTTGTCATTACTTCGCAAAGTTTGCTAATGAGTTTTAATGATAAATTACCCCTAAGATACAACAAACCCTTGAAAAAAATATCTAGCAATAATATTGAGTTCCATAACATAAATTATGTCTATAAATTTTCTGAAGAATTAATAAAGACAGAGGTGTCATTTCATGAATGAATGCATCCTCTTTAAACATTACAACCATTCACATAACGATACCTTTTCAATGTAAAGGTATCTTTTGCATGGATTAATACACATATTACAATAGTTATATCTATTACTAATTAGTGTTCAGATATGTATGAAAACATATCACCAATGAATGTAATAGTTCGAAACATTTTAGATCACATAAACTCATGAAAACATTATTTTCTACATAATTTATGTTGCAGCGGATGTTTTCCCGCTGCAGCCGTAAATGGACTCGAGATATGCAAACATTTCGGCTGCAGCCAAAATATTTCGGCTGCAACCGGTTTAGCCTAATCAAAGCAGATTGTCTACTGTAACTTTTTGAAGTCCCTTTAACACGAGTTTTCATATTTTAATACTCAAATAACTTATGATCTTGATCAAGACATATTACAATCTCTCTAACATCAAGTTCATTCTGGTTGTATTTGTAGCTCCAATGATTTTTCAATTAAGCCATAAAAATCTCTTTACAATATGAAGGTGAGAGAAAAGAGCAAAAGAAAAAAGTCAATCGAGCTTTGGGCCGCCTCAGGGCACATTGCCAAACTCCCAGCCTTGAAATTTCAGTCTCTAGCTCGTCTCATCATGAGTTTCTCAATGGACGTGGCGGTGCATTGTGGGGGCTCCATTTGGTCGGATTTATTTTGATTTGGTGGTAGGGGCCATGCGTTCAAGCTGCGTATTCTGGCGCGTCCCTCCTCCTGTGGTTTAGCGCCGTCAAGGTTTTGTTCCGCTCCTTTAGGCTTCGTTCGGCGATGGTGGGGTTGGATTCTGGCCGTGGTGATGAAGCTATGTGAGGGCCAAACGCCGTTATTTGTCAGTTATCTTTCCACTTCGCCGTCCGTCCTTCGTCATCCATCCTTTGAAGCTTCTTGATGATTCCTTCACTTCTTCTGATGCTTTTTTATGGAGACAATTGGAGGTGTTCCTTTGTTTTTAAGTAAAGTTTGGTTGGCCATAATAGTGGGTTTTATCCTACTTTGTTTGTTTAGTTTTTCAGTATTAGTTATTGCTTTCAGTTTGCTAGATTTGGGTCCTAATGGTGTTTTGTGTGGCCTTAATGCTATGGGTCTCTTGATTTCGGTCGATTGAATTTATCCATCAATTGTAGAGGACTTGTCAAAAAGCTATATGTGTGCTCGATCTTAGTTGTCCTTTAATGAGTGTCCATTTGTGGAACTCATAATACGTTTCTTGCTCTGTAGCGTTTCATTCGAATTTACTAGTGGATCTGGTTGTTTATCCAGGTCGTAGTTTTCCTGTAATTTGTGGCTATTATAGTCAAAATTGGTGTTTATCTCTCTTTAACTTGGAATATAATATCTCATTTTCAAAAACAAAAATCAAATGACCGTTAGATTTGAAATATAAAGATATTCTTTATTTAAAATTGTATTTTTGTCATACCCTGAAGCCGGAGTCGGTGACGTGGAGGCTCGATTAGGGGTTAAACGCGATTAAGAATAAAATATTTAGGAAATTCCCATACGAGCCCCACTATTTTACTGAAAATAAATTACAAGAACATCTCAAGAGGCTAAAGCTCCCGCCTCTAACATTGTTCAGGGCTACACCCACAGGATCTTCAGTATTGTACACACATGACACGTGTAAATAACATTATAGACATCAACCACAGTCTAGAAATCCAAATATCAGAGTTTACAGAATTTACAAATTCTTACATTCGTACACTAGGAGGATAAACACAATCCTTTCTTAATCGGGTGGTAGCAACTCAGCTACTCCGCACTGCTCCTAGAGTCGCCTGGGAGGGGTTTAACATTTATAAATAATAAAACGTAAGCGAAATGCCCAGTAGGATATATTTTGAAATAACTTTGTAAATAAGTAAATAAATGAGTAAACAAGTAAATAAATAGATAAGTAAATGAATAAATATAGACATTCAGTTCCAACACAATAGCCGAAACCTCACATCCTTTTTCTCAAAGGAAATATAACTGAAAATCTTTGTATTACAGGCATCAGCAAGTAATTTATACTATGATAAATTACTTACACAACCACGTGCACAAGCCTAATCACCCCCGGGCCAAGTTTCGGGTTCTGCCCCTAAGGATGCACTCTTCACATCCTATCTAGGCCATCAGCCGGTTTACCGATTCGCAAGATCTCTTATAATCCCAATAGCTAAGAAATCATTCATTAAACTTTATGAAACAGCTCATTATAATCCCAATAGCTAAAGTCAAGCTCTGGTTTTCAAATGCTTTTCTTTCGCAAACATGCCCCTTTCTTTAAAACATTTTTCTAGGCTAAAATTCTTTTGAAAACAGGCTTACAAAGGAAAGGGTAAGAAACCCTACCTCTCAAGTACCAAACCTGGCTAGCGTTACACTATTCTGGCTTTCGCTTCTAAAAAGCCCCTCAATCCGAGTCATTAGCTAGCACTGATACAAAACAACACTTTAGGATTCAATTCTCATTCCTAAAGCAGTTCAATCTCAATTATACCCCTTTGATTTCCTATTAGTGTGCCATAATTCATTTACCGGTTTTATAAACCATTTCATGTTTCAAATCATCATTCCAAGG